CCCCCCCCCGCCATCCCACCGTGCTTTGTGTCCCGGAGCACCTGCTATGAGACATGCCCAGACCTGGACACTCCAGGGGCACAAGGGGGTGAGACCCATAACACCTCCAAACTCATGCTGGGAAGAAAGCCACTGCCCAACCTCACTGCCCTCTCTCCCCTTTACAACCATCTCACCTCCTGGATCAGGAAACTTTTTTTGTAGCTATCATATTTCCAGCCATTTCTTACTCCAATCTCCATCATTTTCTCCTGCAGAGAGTCCTTAAAAGCTTCTATGTGAGGCAGCAAAGTGGAGCCAGTGGGCTTTCCAGTCCTACAGAAGAAACAAAATAAAATGTTGAGACAACAGCGGCTACTGTGGGGCTAAAACGAAGAAGGAACTAGCTGGTCCGCCTTTTATTCGCTTTTAAGCCAGGGGGAGGAGAGCCAACAGTTAATCCAATTCCTATCATGGGCCAGGCACTGTGCCGTGCCAGGTCCTGGACATCAAAACCTATGAAACCAGTCTAGTGATGCCCATTTTACAGACAAGAAAACTGAGGTTCAGAGAGGGTTGCTGATGGGTGCACAGCCACACAGCTAGTAAGTGGCAGAGCCAGGCTTTGGACACTGATCTGTTCAACCTCAAAAGTCAGTCTCCCCACGCCAGGGGGTTGCCACTTGAAAGGGTGAGACTTGAACTACATCTTAAAAGATGGGGAAGTTTTGGGGAAGCAAAAAGGAGGAGGAGTTATTCCCCGTGGGGACAACATAGTTAACAAAATTTCAGAACCTCCCAACAGTAAGAAGCAGCAGGTTATAGAGGAGATGGCATAGGTTTGAGATCTTGGCTCTCTACCTGTGAGCTGAGTGACACTGGAAAAGCTGCATCCAGTCCTCTGAATCTCAGCTTGTCCCCTTGTAAATAGAAGCTACTTCAGAGGGTTATTGAGAGGATCTGATGAGATCATGCATGCACAGTGCTTAGCACAGCTCCTGACACATCTCAGTTGCTCCCTGCTACCTCCAGGCTGGCTGGAGACGGAGGCTGGCACTGAGAAACAGGATGGGGAGAGAATGGGAAGGCCACTTGGAGGCAGGTGGAATGTCTTGAATTGCATTCTTTTTTCTTAAGATTTTATTTGTTTATTTGAGAGAGAGAGAGAGCTGGTGGAGGGGCAGAAAGAGAGAGAATCCCAAGCAGACTCCCTGCTGAGCATGGAGCCCAACGTGGGGCTGGATCCCACGACCCTGAGATCACAACCTGAGCTAAAATCAAGAGTCCAGACGCGTAACCAACTGAGCCACCCAGACGCCCCTTGAATGCCATTCTAAGGAATTTGGAGTTTATGCTATAGACTTGTAAACAGGGGTAGAGTAGATGGAATGGCATGATCCCAAAGGAGTTTAAAGAAAGATGGGGGCAGGGCAGGGGAACACTGAGTAAGAATCTAGCAAAGGTAGAACTGTTCAAGTAGCAGCAGGTGGCGAAATGCCAGAGGCGAAAGAGGGGGCCTGGGGGTAGGCTCCTGCACTGGGGGATGAGGAGAGTCTGCTTCTGTTGATTGAGAAAAGGACTAAAGGTCAAGGAAGGAAGGAGGCACCGTGAAGCTCACACAGCTAGTAAGTGAGTGAGCACGCAGTATATCAAAAACAAACACAAAGTCATGGGTCAGCCTCTTTGCCTTTTTGCATTCAGGAAAATTTATAAAGCCCCTGTGTTTGCTTAACTCCACACTCTCCAACCAAAATAACCCGCCCGGGGCTCTGAGCCACAAGAAAATGTATCCCTTGCTGCATGTATGAGATATTTGAAAAATACTGGAAATCACAATATTAGTCTGAAAGCAACATCTCCATCTGCACTCCAGGTCACCATGAGGAATTAAGTAAACCAAACCAAGAAGGCTTTTGTGTTTTGCCAGAGACTAAGCTTTCCTCCTCAAGTTGCAAGCTACTCTTTACACTTCCAGATCCAAAGTACAAATTCTTCTAGAGATGAGACTCGGGCCCAATGCTCTTCAGTTGTTTGTTCACGAAGGAGCAAGAGAAAGAATCCTTTACCTAAAAATGCCTCCAAAAACGGGATCGATCTGGTCATAGATGGGCTGAGTGATGGCTTCGTTCAGATCTATTCTTGCGAGGGTCCGGGAGGCATAGATGCCATTCTTCAGGCAAACAGCTTTCAGAGTCTGGTGAAAGCCCTGGTTTCCTCTACTCCTCTAGGTAATTAAACAATAAGATAGTAGAGTTAGTACATTACTCTAGTTAGTACACGTTAACTAGAGTGTCACGGGATCAGAATCAGATTGCCTTTGGCCAAAGCCTACGACCAAGGATCACAGGGAAGAGGAGGGACGACATGATCTTTTAACATATGCTTAAGCTGGACAGAGGGCACAGTGGTCATGCCTCAAGCTCCAGAGAAGCCTGTGCTTTTGATCACGATCTCCTCGTACAGCTTATAATTGTCTGTTTACTTATTGCGCTTCTCTGCCTGAACAGCAGCTTGTTGGAAGCAGGCACGGTGTCTTATCCATCCTGATGTTCTCACCATCTGGTGTATTTGTTAAAGGAGCAATTTTTAAATGAAAATGTGCTACGACCCTAGTGGGGTGTAGGTTTCAAATTTTCCAAGCAAGCCTGAAGTTGTTTTTTAATACTTTTTGTTACATGTCTAATGAAATGTAATTTGATTTGTACATCTTCATAATACTTATTTCCCAGAGAAATAAATTCACAAATCAGAGGCAAAAAAATACGATGAAGCGAGAGCCACAGAGACATTGATAAATCTTACCCAGATGGCGATCCTTAGTAAAGAGAATAAAAATATATAGGCACTGACCAAAATTTCAGTAGAGGTTCTTGTGATCAATGATATATGCTTTAAGGAACTCTGTTTCAAATGCAAGGCTGTGTTGTAAGATATGATTGGCATCATACCATATATGTTTTAATATTCTGTCCTTTTCACTTAATATTATAACATGGGCATTTCCTCAATTCATTGCAAATACTTTCAAAAATTATTTCAATATCCACAAAATATAAAATCAAGTGGATATAACCTAATTCATGTCACCACTCTCTTATTATTATACATTTTAGGTTATTTTGCTATGTTACATAATGATATGATGTCAGCATATAAATGTTTGCCCAAATTTCTGATCAGAGAGGAAAGTGGCCTATCAAACACACCTTAGACATGTTTGTAGTCACCGAGAAAAATGCCATTACAGAACTGATGAGACAGGAGAATTCATGGGAAAATTTGTGAAGGCCTGGAGATGGCCGAACTGCTCCTTCCTTTCATGGAGACCAAAGGAATGGTCTCCATTTTGTGTCTTCACCTTCGCAGAACGCACTTACTCACTTTTGGTGATCTGGGGTCTTTTAGCATCATAAAGAAGCCGTTCTCCCCCAGAGTGACTTACTTATCTATTGCTATGAAACAAATTACCTCAAACCTAATGGCTTAAAACAACAAAAAACATTTATTGAATACCGCTCACTAGTGTTGTGGGTCAGGAATTCAGATATGGCTTGGCCGCTGTTTCGCGGTTCACAAGATAGCCAGGCTGTGCGTCTAAGATTAAAAGGCAGAGAAGAGACGAGTGCATGAGTCAAGGTCACCGAGAACAGACAATCTGCACACTAGGCTCAGGTGGTACAGCGTTTACTGACAGCAAGAGGAGAAAAAATGTGCACAAGATCCAGCCTTTGCAATGCATGGGTCGCCTACGGCCAGCAGACCCACACCACAGCTACTGCGGATGATGCTCCTGCACACATCCCACATTGTGTGCAGTACAAGGACCCGGGATCTGAAATACAGAAAACTGGGAGCTTGCCTAAGGGCCTTGGACGCCTATGCTAAGCAGAACAAAGAAGTACTCACTGAGCATAAAGCAGAGAACAATATTCCCAAGCAAGGCGATAAGCCCAGCACAGGCTGAGGGCTCTTTTATCTCTCGGTAAGGAAGTGTTCCAGGCCCAAAGCCCACTTTTATGTGGCCAAGTTATGTTTGTGTGTGCGTGGAGGGGAGGATGTCGAAAGACTTCATGCCCGGGCTGACCTTTCCCCACAGCTGGCCAGTGCTGGCTCGGGGCTCCGCCGTGAGTCTCCATCAGACGTTGGCTGGGGTTACAGTCACCTGAATGGGGCTGGAGGTTCTGCTCCCAAGGAGGCTCACTATGGAGCTGGCAAGGTAATGCTGGCTATTTGTGGACCAAGCTTCACTACTTTTATGGGGATTGACAAATTTTAAACTACATGACTGGTTGGCAATTACAAGTAGCTGCAATAGTTTGCAGAGCACAGTTGGGGAGGTGCAATAGGCAAGCGTAGGGGTTGGGCATCCAGGCTCTGAAGACAGGCCTGTGGTAGATGTGGATCCCATATGTGGCCACGGAAAGCTGTTCAGCCACTGTAAGGCTGTAAAATTAAAATAATAATAAAAGTGGTTACCACGCAGAATTGCTATAAGGACTGAATCAGGTAATGTACAGTATCTGGCACCAGAGTAAGCATTTTATCCACATTTGCTGAATGCATGAGTGAATGCATGTGACATACTATATTCATGGACACTCAGCCACCCCCCCCCGCCCAGCCATGTGGAAGGCACTCCACCTCTCATTCTCCTGTGTCAAAATTCTAACAGTCCTCTCCAGTGACCCCAGAATCATTCCCACTTCTATACTCTTTTAGCCCATGGAAATGTAGAGCTCCATTACACACCACCTTCTCACTGCTAACATTCTAACTTTCCAACTCATATTACAACAATGCCAACAACATGCAATCTATGCACTACTCCCAGCTCTAGAGACTTCTGTATCATCCTTGTCCCGTGAGCAGTGTTGTTCATCATTCCTTACTCTTAACAGGTGTCATGGAGTGACCTGTATCCCTCTGACTTGACATGTTAAAGCTCTGAGCCCCGGTGTGACTATATTTGGAGATAGGGCCTTTAGGGAGGTAATTAGGGTTAAACGAGGGCATAAGGGTAGGTCCTAAGCCTATTGGACTGGTGTCCTTATAAGAAGAGAGAGAGATGCCAGGGATGCACACACAGAAAAAAGACTGTGGGAGGACACAGCTAGAAGGTGGCCATGTGCAAGCCAGAAAGAGAAGCCCCAGGAGAAACCAACCTTGCACTGCCTTGATCTTGGGCTTCTAACCTTCACAACTGTGAGAATAAATGTCTGCCCTTTAAACCACCTGGTCAATGGTATTTTATGTTATAGCAGCCCTAGCAAACAGATACGAGAAGCCTCTTTTTTTCACCCCTTAGCCTTAGATAAATACAGCCTGGCACTTACATCTTTATCCTTCAGCTACCTCATATAAGTAATTAAGAGATAAAACAACAATTTGCAGGCCCCTTGAGAGGTTACAAGATGTTTCCTTATTATGTAATCTAATTGGCATTTCTATCAACCCTAAGATAGGTAGGGTGAGTATTTAGCATCCCATTTTACAGAGGAAAACACCCACAATCTTAAATGGGTTGAAGGTCTCACCCGGGGCTATGCCGTACATGATGGGTAGAGCTGGCACTCAAAACAAGACCCTCAGTTCTCTCCTGGGTCCTCGCGATGCACAATCGGACAGTTCCCTGTATGGGCTTTCCTGTATACAATTTTCACTCTCTCCTACTCTCGTTTAGCTCTTTATTTCCTTCAAAAGCCATGAAATAGTGCAAAAAGAGCATGGAGATAAGGCAGATGTCACCGAATATCACAGGTCCTCCCTGGAGAGGGTCACTCACCACCAGGCATGCCCCAAGGATCCGTCGGTAGGAAGTCCTGGCATTTTGGACTCCTTCTTGCAGAGGCTGCTCTATGTGGGCAAAGCACTGGTCAATGGCCTTCTCCAGCAGCTGTATCTTCTCTTCCACAAATCTCCGCAGTCCACTCATGTGCAAGTATTCGTTCTAGGGACAAGGGCCATAAGAAGCATGAGGCCACCCCCTCCCTAAGGGCACTCTCTCTTCAAATTTTGCTTCCTTTATGCTTGTCCACTAACACAAGATTTGGCTTGAGCTAATCACCCTCAGTTGACTTCTTTTGTCCCAGTAAAGCATCCCTCAGTGGACAGACCTCCTTAAGCTTTGTGGGTTGGAGAGCACAATATATATATATGCCTCCTGCAACTTACTTTAGGTATCTAATCCATTAGGCTATTTGAGGGAATAACTACTCAAATAAAAATCCAAATGCTGTTAAAACATATTTTTTCAATGACATCTGATTCCACAAACATTAGTAGGCTTTGTGCACAACACAGTTTTTGAGAATCTAGTTTCTCAAACTTTAACATGTGTATAAGTCACTGGGAGAGTTTGTTCAAATCTGAGGACCTGAGATTCTACAATTCTAGCAAGCCCCCAGGTGATGCTGATCTTCTGGGCCCTGGACCACACTTTGAAGAACAAAGCTACAGGACGCAATAATAAAGACATGGTCCTTTCTTCAAAGGAGAATATAATCTAGTCGAAGAGGAAAAGATCTACTCAATTAATACAAGGGAGAGACAGCCTTGACCTCTAGATTTCAAACTGGGAACTCTGTAGTGTTATTCCGTGTGTGAGAATCTTGAGAATCACAATGCCTACAGCAGATGGAAGCCACACTACTTAGCTCAGCACTTAAGGGCTCCTCACAGCAAGGACTCAGCCAACTTCTCCAGCACCACCAGCTCTTTGCCCAAAATGTCATCCCATCCCAGGGTAGCTGCTCCTGAACTTGATACCATTCTCCAAATGTGTCATCCCTTTTGTACCCCATGCCTTTACACATGCTTCCCATCCTTCCAGACAAAGCTCAAAAGGCACTCCCCATGTGATGCCTCCCCTGACTCCACTGGGTGGAATTGGGGCTCTCTTTCCTGTGCTTCCACTGAATCTTGTACATCCCTGCATTACAGCCCTCCTCCTGCTGTGCTATGTCTGTCTCATTCCATATCTCCTTCCCTGGGCTAGGAACTTGCTGAAGGATCTGCAGACTGTGTTATTCATGTTTGTTCATTCCAAGGCACGGCACAGAGTGTGCAGTTGATAAACATTTTGGAGTGAATGAAGGCCACAGAGAAATTGCTAGATAATGTGGGGTTTTAAATTCTATTCCAAATTTGATGACGGAAATCGCTCTCAAATTGATGTGTGACCTTACACAAACGACTTAGATCTTTTCTAGATCTTGACTGCATTGAAGTGAATGAAGCTGAATCTTCCTGAAAACAACCTCAAACCCCCATACTTCTCGAGACTTAGAATACATAAGTTTTAGAGTTTATGGAGACTATTCCATGGATTCTTATAGTTTTTCACTGGTAAGAATTCTATAAGTCATACTTTTCTTTCAGAGTGCCCTCTGGATTCTTTTTTTTTTTAAAGATTTTATTTATTTATTTGAGACAGAGAGAATGAGAGACAGAGAGCATGAGAGGGAGGAGGGTCAGAGGGAGAAGCAGACTCCCCGCCGAGCAGGGAGCCCGTTGCGGGACTCGATCCCGGGACTCCAGGATCGTGACCTGAGCCGAAGGCAGTCGCTTAACCAACTGAGCCACCCAGGCGCCCCCCTCTGGATTCTTTTGAGTTTGTGGTGTTACTGGTGATCAAAAGGAAATAAGAAAGATGTCACCAACAGAAACTCTATGGGCAAGATTCTCACAAAGTCTCATACTCAACAAATCGTTGTTAAATAAACAAAAGAATGATAAGAAAGGGCAGGTCTGGGAATAAAAGAACAGTAAGAAGGGGAAAGGCTTACATCTCCTACGAATAAACGCAGGGCTCATTTGACATTAAGATGTCATAATCAGTTTCCTACTGATTCATAAAAAGAATGACTAGATCCCTGTTCATTTAGAATCAATAACTACCCAGTCTATGGCCATACCACCCTGAACGCGCCTGATCTCGTCTGATCTCGGAAGCTAAGCAGGGTCGGGCCTAGTTAGTACTTGGATGGGAGAATAACTACCCAGACTCTATTTTTTTTTTTTTTTGGTTTGAATCATAATCTTAAAAAATGATCAATCACCACATTTTTTCAGAATGCAAAGGAACTGACAAAACTCTTGCCTTCCAACTTCCCATCAATGAACTAAGACTGAGACCAATATCTGAGGCCAAAGGGTTTTGAGGAAAAGTGCTGGCTGACGCCCATGTGAAGGGCTACCCCAAAAGTGCTAACCAGCACCCTCCTCTGTGTTTTCTGTCGCCTACAGCCTGGCCCTGAGGATGGCACAGAGTCCCTCCACGGGCTGCCCCTCCCCCTTAGCCGAGAAGAGCGCCGGGCAGGCACTTCTCTGATTGCAAAATGCCTTGTCCTTGTGTTTATAAAACAAACCAACCACACACAGCACCACATCTGATTTGTTTTCCATTAGCACTTCCAAAAGCAATCTTTTGCTGGGCAGAGAGGCAATTTTCACCCTGAAGAACATTTTCGGGAAGTTAGAAGGTCAAATGCTTCCCTGGTATTTCAGAGGACAGTTAAGTTAGAAAATCTCAAGATTCCAACTTGTTGCTGTTGTTTTTGGTTTTCCCTCAAAGAACTAGGCCAAAACAAGGCATAAGAAATATGATAAAAAAGACAGGGAACCTTGGTCTGTATGTCATTTTTATATAGAATTTTTTAAATGCAGACATTTGACCAAAACTGCAAAGACCGTCAACAGTTGGCATTACTTACTTTTCACATTGAAGTCAGGTCTCCATTATCTGCCTCCCCTGGCCACGCCATAGGGCCAGCCCAGGGGTACCTTCCCACAGTCTCAGAACCAGCCCCTTGACCCCTCAGGGAGCCCTACTGGTTCACTTTCTTTGCCCCTTCCTTGTTCGGCATAACAAAAAGTTGGACAATCTGGTGGGGCAAATCTGATGGTTGATAGCAAGTATGGAAATAAACACCAGCCAGATGAGAACAGGCGAAGGCTCTTTATCCAGAGCTTGCTAGAGAAAGAGAGTCAGCCACCATCACTTGTGTTTGGCAGAGATTCAAAGGCAGGCGGAGGAGTGGGAAGGCTCCAGGCACGCCCCCGTCAGAGGCCACTGGCATAGGGGAGCTGTGGGTGGGCTAATTAGAAGCGGGGATCCTATGTGATTCATTAGGGTGCATTAGTAGCCCATTTGGGTCTGATTGTTACAGACATCATTGCTTAGCTTCTTGGATTGTTCCTAGAGATGGCAGTCTGACTCCCTATGAATGTAACTTACAGCAGGCTGCCCTCCTGCACTGTTTGTTGTAGATAAGAGGTTGGTTTCCTAGGCAGGTTGTTGCAGGCTGTTTTATTTTATTTTATTTTATTTTTTAAATTTTTTAAATTTATTTATTTGACAGAGAGAGACACAGCAAAAGAGGGAACACAAGCAGGGGGAGAGGGAGAGGGAGAAGCAGACTCCCAGCTGAGCAGGGAGCCCAATGCGGGGCTCGATCCCAGGACCCTGGGATCATGACCTGAGCCGAAGGCAGACGCTTAACGACTGAGCCACCCAGGCGCCCCTGCAGGCTGTTTTAATATATGATTGCCTGATTGTATATTCAAATGCAATTCAAATGCAAATGACTCACAGAGAAGCAGTATAGTTGGTGATTGATTGAAATGACAGATTTTTTTTTTCGAAAACTCTCCCCTGCCTCTAATTTAGCAGCCAATCCATCTTATTTTAGGGTAAAAAAATAAATCATCCTGGGGTGCCTGGGTGGCTCAGATGGTTAAGCGTCTGCCTTCGGCTCAGGTCATGATCCCAGGGTCCTGGGATCGAGCCCTACATCAGGCTCCTGGCTCAGGGGCAGGGAACCTGTTTCTCCCTCTCCCTCTGCCTCTCCCCTTGCTCATGCTTTCTCTCTCTCTCTGTATCTCTGTGTCTCAAATGAATAAATAAAATCTTTAAATAAATAAATAAATAAATAATCCATCAAAGAGATAAATTTGCCCATTCCTATGAGAAGAGTATTTGGAACTGGTCATTCGGAAGGCCAGCATTCAAGATCGTGAAGATATATATCTAAACTCTTTGCTGAATGTCCCTGCTAGCTCCCTTCCTCTCTCACATTATTGTACTAGGCTGCTCTGAGTTTGAGATTCTGACAGCACCGGGGCATAAAGAAAATCCATAGACAGATGAAATTTTTTGGACTGTATGCCTAACCATGCCTCTGTAGGATAACCAAGAACTGTTGGTATTCTACGAGGGTGAAACAAATCAATTCTGTTATTGCTTAAACACATTCCATCTTATTCAAGGTCCCAGGAGAGGTGAAAGTAGCTGCTGATCGTTTCTACATTTTCCTCTCAACCCCTCTGTCAGGCAAAATATTATTCCTTTCTTTTTTACTCAAATGTCACCATTGTAACCCTCAAATTATCTCTGTCTTCTTTAGATATTCTGAGCTTACTATCTTCCTTTGATATGAAAAGAAAAAATATTGTAAGTTATTTTCCAAACTTGGTAAAGGGAATGTTCTGCCCAGGCTGGGAGGCAGAGCACACACATAAGTATCTCCCATACCGGCAGGTTTTCCGTGCAGTTGAAACTGTCTGTGAGGAGCAATAAACCAAAGGCTTCAGTCACATACTTGGTCACCATCCTCCTCTTCTTGTCCAGGAGTCTTTTCCTGATATAGCCTCTTAACCTGGGGATTTCTGGAATTCACAGGCAGCACAATTTTAAAAGGCCAGAGTTCACAGCAAAGAGAATTCACAAAAATGAACAGATCGGAATGGCAGTCTGAATTAGCTACAGCTGAGGTCCTACATGGGCTGACTGCCCACTATACCAACTTTTCTAGGGGATGTTTTTTCCATGTCTAGGATCAACAATAATGAATGGGCAAGTCAGCAATGATGAATATTAATTTTATTTAGTGGTACAAGTCCAACTAAGTAGAAAAGTGCAGGCTGGTTAGAAACATTGGTGCTTCCCTCGGGACTGCTACTTACAAAGAGTTGAACAAAAGGTGCTCACAATCCCAGAGTCTCAGCTCTTCCGTCCCCCTAGATTTTCCATGAGAATTTCTGCTGAATGGGATTTTGGATTAGAAATTCCTCTTAGTCCTAACCTTTTGTTGGTCAGAAGATAACAGGTGTCATCCTACTTTTCTCCTTGTTATTCCCATAAGTGGAAATTCTTCTGTATCATTCCTTGCGTATGCCATGCTGATTATTTCTTTTATATCCTTGTTCAAGAAGTTCCCCCATTTCTAGGAACACTTTACACCTTCTGGCCCTTCACCTCCTCTCCCACGCAGACACATCAGGTAAAATGCATGCCCGTCTTAAGCCATTTTAAGCTTGGATCAAAGTCAAGCTCAGAGCCTGCCTGCTCGCCCACTTCACACTGAGTGCTCCAGTCACACAGACCTCTAGGTTCTCTGGGCTTCTATTGTATTCACAGCACCATTTAACTAAGCCTTATTTGTACCTTGATTTTTACACATGCCTTAGTACTAGCTCCTCATCTAGATTTTAAGTTCTGTGAAGAAAGGGGTCATGTCTTCTGCTTTTTCCTCCTCAGAGACAAAGCATACAATAGATGCCGGGTAAACATGTCTAATACTTGTAGCAGGGTGAGTGATGAATTACAAGCCAAATACTTTCGAAATGACAACCCAATCTCTGACCTCTACCAACTCTTGGTAAAATCTGGATGAAAAGAGACACTGTGGTCTCAGGCACCACAACAATGCAGAGAGAAAAACAGATACATCGGCTAACAGGTATAGAAATTGCGACAAGCTGGAAATGACACACAGAAAATTCTAGAGAGGTAATTCAATGTGCCGAGCTTCATCTTGAGAATTCTAGTGACTGAGATAAAAAATATATATAAATTACCAGTTTCCTCCTCAGTGAGGAGAGCCTGCTGCCAGTACTCCTGGGCGCTGACTGTGTACACCAGATCGGAAGCCTCCAGAACCTTGGAGTCAGCAGGCAGTTTTCTCTGAAGTGAGAGAAACACACAGGGAACAGAATAACTCAAACATGGTGAAGGAAACAATGCGCAGGCCTTATAAGAACCTTCAGCAAGCTTCCGCTCACTCACTTTCAACCCTTAAAGAACACAGCACACCTGTACATCAGGTGTTCCCATCTGTCCACACCTCACAAGGATGGACATTGTAAGAAAACCGCTGCATAGAAACTATTCTCTTGGGAGTTAAGAATAGCAATTCTAGAAGGAAATGTGTAGAGAAAATAGTTCAGAGTGTACTGAAATGTTCAGAGAGAGGAAAAGTACCGGGATGCTTTATGGAAAAAACACAAAAAAAGCCCAACTCCGGCAAAGGCGGCAACGGGCTAGAGCCGGCTGCACCTGTTCCTAAGAGCCCATTCACAGCTCTCCCCGGCTCCGCCTTTAGTGACATCACCCTGGTAGCTTGAACTTGGCAATGGTGGGAGTATTACACCTTGGGGATCAGCAAATGCTAGAAATCAGGGCTTTTTTTGTTTGTTTCTTTTCTTTTTAAACAGAGGGCTGGTTGTTAAATATTTACCTACGCCACACAACACGGGGCAAAGGTGCTGTGAAAATACAAGTTTCTTAGCTGGGTGCTTAGTGAGTAATCAGACACATTTAAAAGCAGAGCGACATTTAAGTAAATCATGGTTTTAAATGTCAAGGACTTAAGAATGTGAGGAAATCTTTTTTATGATTAGAAAAATCATGATCACAGAGAAGTCACACTGGGATTAGACACAAATATTGTTCCATAATCTTTCATTATTCTCACTTAAAAGAAAAGAAGGGGTGCCTGGGTGGCTCAGTCAGTTAAGCGTCCTACTCTTGGTTTCAGCTCAGGTTGTGATCACAGGTCGTGAGATCGAGCCCCGCATCGGGCTCTATGCTGAGCACAGAATCTGCTAAAGTTTCTCTCTCCCTCTCCCTCTGCCCCTCCCCGCCTCTCTTTCTCTCTCTCAAATGAATAAATCTAAAAAAGAAAGAAAGAAGAAAGAAAGAAAGAAAGAAAGAAAGAAAGAAAGAAAGAAAGAAAGAAAGAAAGAAAGAAAGAAAAGAAGGAAGAAAGAAAGAAAAAGAGAAAAACCATAAAGGGTTGTGTGTGTGTGCATGGGTGTTTGGGGGCAGCAGAAAACTGTAGAGAGTTGTCAATCTCTTTCTGATGCAAAGATACAAAAGAGCTGAGTGAGTAGTCCACTGGGAGAGGCGAGAGACCACATGTCTGGCAAGCTGTAAGCCCATGCAGTCAAGGCTGGAATAGAGATGCCTGGGTAAGCTTCCAGCAGCCCCACACACTACAGTCAGGGCTGAAATTATACAAAGGATCTGCCAAGATTAACTTTTCCCCCCTTCTGATAGAATTTTGACTCTAGCAAAAAAGTTTAGGGAAAGTTGAAACTATTTTCTATTGGGAGATAAAACTGATGTGGAATTAAATTTAAGTAGGGTTTTAGAACAATTGAAAGAAAGGAGTATGCCTCACTGTGTCTAGGTGTTTACATTATTTAAAATCTTGCTCTAAATTCTGTATACCTCTTCTAAAAATTATTGACGATTAGTTAGCACTTATGTTTGTTATTATAGTACAGAGAAATATTTTTATAGTGCCAGTGAAGTGACTACAGTATGCAGGTTCTGTATTATTATAAAAGAGATGTAGAAACAGTTACAGCTAGAAAGTAGGATCCAAGAGGTGAGTGGATATTCATCCAATTATCCCATGGAAAGATGGGTCACTGTTACAATTTACACACATGGTTGGTTAGGACAGTGTATAACACCACAGATATTAAAGTTTGTAAGAAGATATTATATATGAGAGAGGAGAAAGCCTATAGCTCAAAATAGAAGGGACACTAGATAAAAGCAGAATCAAAGGGGGATAATAAAGCTGGAGTTAGCTTGAGATCAGTAATATAAATCATGACCCCATTTTCAAAAAAAAAAATCTATCTTTTCTAGCTTTGTCATTAAAATAATTTTGCAGTGATATCACCCTGCCCACTTCTTTTGCTTGTATGAAATCATTTGATATGGACCCCTAGCACCCCAGCTTTTATTTTTAGTATTATTTTTTACTGAAAGAAACCCAAGTTTCTTTGAGAGTAGTAGTTCCATATCTTGGGGCAGGGAAAAAATAAAAGGAGCCTGAGTATCTTGTTGTTGTCAAAGAGCAAAAATATTTTTGAAAATCTCTGGGTAAGGCTAAAAGGAACCAGCTTAAATTACAGGCTCCCATTGGCCAAGAGGTGAACTGGAACATCAAAAAGAACACAGTAATTCTGTGAAAAGCCATGAGTCTATTATAATCCTCAAACTAAGTAAAATAAGTAATAGTAATAAGAAAAAAAATGTATATGTATTGGTCTCTTCCCCCCATTTCTGACACAGGGGGCTCCTAAATTCCTTATAAATCGGGGTGCTAGGACAATATTTGGTTCTAACATTAGTCTTTGTCCCCAGTTCTCAGCACAGAGCTCCTAAAACCACTGTGATTTCCTAAGTGATAAGAGCACTAGAAGCATCTCTTGTCCTAATATTTGGTCTTTGACTCAGTACCTGACACAGATCCTAAATCCCTTGGAATTTCCTAAGTGATAGGAGTGTCTTCTTTTTCTAATGAGGCAACTCTGGGTGAGCTCCTGAATGGGGGCTGGTCACAGATCAGGTCATTAGAAGTTTGGAATTTTCAGCCCCACTCCATCCCACCCCCATTTTCCAGAGAGGGTAGAGGGGCTAGAAATATAGTAATTGATGATGCCCCTGTGAGGAAACCTCCATAAAACCCCAACAGTATGGGGTTAGGGAGCTTCCAGGTGGGCGAACACATCCGCATAACAGGAGGGTGACATACTCCAACTCCATGGGGACAGAAGTTCTTGCATTTGGACTCCTCCCAGGCCTTTCCCTATATATCTCTTCATCTGGCTGTTCATCTGTATCTTTTATACTTTATTATATTTTTAAAAACTGGTAAATGTAAGTGATTATTTCATTGCATTCTGTGAGTCATTCTAGCAAATAATTGTATCCAAGGGGGAGGAGGTCATGGGGATCTTCAATTTGTAGCCAAGTCAGAGAGAAGTTGTGGGTAACCTAGGGACCTACTATTTGCAGTTGGCATCTGAAGTAGGGAGCAGTCTTGTGGGACTGAGCCCTTCACCTGTGGGATCTGATACTATGTCCAGGAAGATATTTTCAGCTTGGGTTAAATTGTAGGATGCCCTACCCCATGACCCAGCAATTCTACTACTAGGTATTTATCCAAAGGATACAAAAATAGTGATTTAAAGGGGCACATGCACCCCAATGTTTACAGCAGCAATGTCCACAATAGCCAAAATATGGAAAGAGCCCAGATGTCCATCAACAGATGACTAAAGAAGATGTGGCATATGTACACACACACACACACACACACACACACACACAGAGAATATTACTCAGCCATCAAAAAGGATGAAATCTTGCCTTTTGCAACAATGTGGATGGAACTAGAGGGTATTATGTTAAGTGAACTAAGTCAAAGAAAGACAAATACCATATGATTTCACTCATATGTGGAATTTAAGAAACAAAACAGATGAACATAGGGGAAGGGAAGGAAAAATAAAATAAGATAAAAACAGAGAGGGAGGCAAACCATAAGAGACTCTGAACTGTAGGAAACAAACTGAGGGTTGCTGGAGGGGAGGTGGGTGGGGGGATGGGGTAACTGGTGATGGGCATTAAGGAGGGCATGGGATGTTAATGAGCACTGGGTGTCATATGCAAGTGATGAATCTCTAAATTTTACCCCTGAAACTAACAGTACATTATATGTTAACTAAAAAAAAAAAAAAAATCATAGTGTCACAGAGAATTGCTTAGGGTGGGAAAAAAATCCCAACACGGATGTCAGAAGTGTTGTTAAGTGTGTTAGCATGGATTGGAAGGATTAATATCATTAAAATGTCCATACGGCCCAAAGCAATCTACAGATTCAAGGCAATCCCTATCAAAATACCAACAGCATTTTTCACAGAACTAAAACAAATAATACTAAAATTTGTATGGAACCACAAAAGACCCCAAATAGATAAAGCAATGCTGAGAAAGAAAAACAAAGCTGGAGGTATCATGCATCTAGATTTCAAACCATATGACAAAACTATAGTTATCAAAACAGTATGGTACTGGCACAAAAACTGACACATAGATAATGGAAGAGAATAGACAGCCCAGAAATAAACCCATGTTTGTATGGTCCATTAATCTACAACAAAAGAGGCAGGAATATACAATGGGGAAAACACAGTCTCCTCAATAAATGGTGTTGGGAAAGCTGGTCAGCTACATGCAAAAGAATGAAACTAGACTACTGTCTTAAACCATATACAAAAATAAGTTCAAAATGGATTAAAGACCTAAATGTAAGTCCTGAAACCATAAAACTCCTAAAAGACCAGATAGGCAATAAACTTTTGGACATTGTTTTTGTTTTTGTTTTTGTTTTGTTTTGTTTTGTTTTGGATCTATCTCCTCAGACAAAGACAACAAAAGCAAAAATAAACAATTGGGACTACATCAAACTAAAAAGTTTTTGCCCAGAGAAAGAAACTGTCAACAAAACAAAAAGGCAGCCTACTGAATGGAAGAAGATATTTGCAAATCCTGTATGTGATAAGGAGTTAATATCCAAAATATATAAAGAGCTCATGCTTGGGCACACCCCCCAAAAAACAAATAATCTGATTAAAAATGGGTAGAGGAACTGGGTAGACATCATTCCAAAGAAGACATATAGATGGTCCACAGACACATGAAAAATGCTCACCATCACTAATCACCATGGAAATGCTAATTACAACCACAAGATATCACCTTACACCAGTCAGAATGGCTAGTATCAAAAAGATAAGAAATAGTTAAGTGTTAGTAAGGATGTGGAGAAAAAGGAACCCATGTGCACTGTTGGTGGGATTGTAAATTGGTGCAGCCACTGTGGAAAACAGTGTGGAGGTTCCCGAAAAAAATTAAAAATAGAGTACCATGTGATCCAGCAATTCCCCTTCTGGATACTTATCTGAAGAAAATGAAAACACTAATTTGAAAAGATCAATGCACCCTCCTGTTCACTGCAACATTATTAATAATAGCCAAGATATGGAAGCAACCTAAGTGTCCATTGATGGCTGAATGGATATTCCACATACAGTGGAATATTACTCAGCCATAAAAAAGAATGGAATCTTGCCATTTGCAACAACACAGATGGACCTACAGGAAATTACACTAAGTGAAATAAGTCGGACAGAGGAAGACAAATACCATATGATTTCATTTATAAGGAATGTAAAAAACAAAACAAATGAACAATCAAAACAAAATGGAAACAGACTCACAAATAGAGAACAGACTGGTGGTTGCCAGAGGGGAGGGGGATGGAAGGATGGGCCAAATAGGTGAAGGGGATTAAGAGGTATAAAGTTCCAGTTACAAACTAAACAAGTCATGGGAATGTAAAGTACAGCATAAGGATTATAGTCGCTAATACTGTAATAACACGGTGACAGATGACAGACTTATTTTGTGGTGATCGTTTTGTGATATATAGAATTGTCAAATCACTATGTTGTACCCCAAAAACTAATATAAAATTGTGTGTCGACTGTACTTCAATTAAAAAAAAAGTGTTGTGAGTGTGTTAATAGCATGAAAGGAAAGGAGAGACACACAGGAGGAGTAGGATGGTTTTCGTTAAAGGTACCCTAAAGCAAAGGTAAAATGCTATGTAATAACCAGCTCCAAGCATGTATCTGAGAATGTGAACACCCAGCTCTCTTTCACCTGCCACATACAAGTCGTCATCCTGTCTTGTGGATGTGAACTCACTAACATCTCTCGAACACATCTCCTCTTCTCTAGTCCTATGGTGACTGCCTTGTTCAGCTCTTAGCACTTCCAGCCGGATTATAGCAGAAGCCTCCCGAACGGTCTCTCTGCATCCAGTCTTCACCCACCCCTCCCCCCATCCATTCTCCTTAATGCTGAGAAAATAATCTTTCTAAAATACATAGTATTACCAGACTGAGGTCTACAAATGGAGTCTCAGGGGTCTGTCATTTTTCTTACAATATGTTTTCCTAATTTTTATTTTTATAATAAAAAATAAGCATAGGAGAGACGATGGACTCTGAAAAACAAACTGAGGGTTCTAGAGGGGAGGGGGGCGGGAGGATGGGTTAGCCTGGTGATGGGTATTAAAGAGGGCACGTTCTGCATGGAGCACTGGGTGTTATGCACAAACAATGAATCATGGAACATTACATCAAAAACTAATGATGTAATGTATGATGATTAATATAACAATAAAAAATTTAAAAAATAAGCATAGACATCTATATGAATGATTGCTTTATAATCAACTTCTGCCTCACATTTCTTTTTTTTTAAGATTTTATTTATTTGTCAGAGAGAGAGAGAGAGCACGCACACAAGCAGAGAGAGGGAGAAGCAGGCTCCCCACTGAGCAAGAAGCCCGATGTGGGACTTGATCTCAGGACCTTGGGATCATGACCTGAGCCGAAGGCAGATAAGTAACCGACTAAGCCACCCAGGCGTCCCTGCCTCATATTTTCTATGATTAAGATTAAATTTGCTCCATGCAGTACAAGTGAAGGGTTGATTCAGACTGAAGTAAAGTGGTTGGAGAATTAAGGTATCACCTGGCTCTCAGAGGTGTAGGTGTGTAGACCTAAAAAAGACTTATATGATAATAGAACAATAGTCCCCCCGCAAGCTGACTCACTGTTGTCCAGACCCTTTCTCATACACACACCAAAGCGCCATATTTATTAGTGATACAGTTGTGAATTGTATATTGAAGTATTTTGTTTTTGTTTCCAGAAACAATATGATGAGGTACTCATTAAATGCATATTTCTTGAATGCCAACAAGAACAACTGAAGAGAATAAGAACAGCTTTGCTCAGTTATTGCCTCATTAAAACCAGCATTTAAGAATTGGTTGGTCAAAGCCTTTGGCTTAAGTACGAGGTCTGATTATTCTGAATTAGAGACAAAAGCTTTGACATTTTCAATTCCACTTTGTACATCAGAAGTTTTCTGCATCAGTGTAATTGAATTCAAACGACAGAATGCAATTAAATATAGAACTGGACATCAGGCCATATGTTTTTACTATTATGCTGCACCAAAGATTTAGTTTCAGCAAAACCAAAACATCTATCACATTATACTAACCCTGATATATCTCTTCTATGTTTTGTTTACAGCTTATCTTAAAATTGGTTTCAGTTTTATCCTTGTATAAGACAATTATAGTAAGGAGTTTTATGTCTGTAACTATTTTAGTGGCAGAATAACAAAAATAATTTAAGAAAATGCCAAGATTCCCACAGAACAATTTCTCAAGCTTGAAAAACACAGCTCGGGGGGGCGTCTGGGCGGCTCAGTCAGTTAAGGGTCTGGCTCCTGATTTTGGCTCAGGTCACGATCTCAGAATCGTGAGATCGAGCCCTGTGTCCGGCCCTGCACTTGGCGTGGAAACTGCTTAGGATTTTCTCTCTCTCTCCCTCTGCCCTTCCCACTCCCACCCCCATCCCCCCGCACCTCCCTGCTCAGGCTCTCAATCTCTCTCTCTAAAAAATAAAAAAATAGCTCAGGCCTTATCTCCCAAGGCTCCTGCAGAAAGTCCTTTCTCCCACTTCCTCACCTTACTACAGACTACTGGTTCTTTAAAATTCTTCCCAGGATCATGAGGAGTTTTCCCTGCACCTCTCTGCAACACCCCTCCCCGCCTGCCAGCATGATCTGAGGAAGATCGTGGGTCCCCACAGCACCCTATGCGTTCCTCCAGCGAATCACCCTCAAACAGTGTGGTGATCTCTGATTTTACCTGCACGTATTTCTCAGTGGACCACATGCTCATCCCATCTTTCCAGCAACCACAGGAGGTAGATGTTATCATTTCCTCATTTTACAGATGAGAAAGCGGAGGCTCAGAGAGGAGCAGTTATTTGCCTAAAGTCACAGTTATTAACCAGTAGGACTAAGTTAACTCCAAACTGTCTGCTCCAAAGCTTTTGATGTGGCTACTACACAGGACCCAACAGACATTTGTTTCTGCAAATTTGAGTGGTTGAAAAGCCGAAAAATACATAGGGAAATCTGTTAACTCACCTGGAGTTTTTCCTTGAGAATTCTATTCCATTGTAGTTTTATCATTTCATTTCTTTCTAGAACAGCCTCCCGCTGACTTGAAATAGCTCGCTAGATTGGAGAAAGAAATGAAAGCACGGCAAAGGGTCCAGGGTTATCAAGAGTGATATGGTGATAAGCTGCACAATTGTTTTTGGCATATCTTCATTTGGGCCAGACAAATGTGTATGTATTTGAATTTTATAACATTAATCATGAAAAGTATTATTAAAAATAACTAGTTCATGCACATGTCCAAACTCATTAAGTTGTTACATGAAATGTGTGCAATTTTTTGTATATAAATTATCTACCAATAGAACTTAAAAAAAAAGTAACTAGTCCGTACTTACATTTCCCACTTTTCTTTCCCTGGAATGAAAATTGTAACAATTACTTACCCCATTTTATGTGTCACAGCAGCCTCAACGTTCCCTAAAAGCAGCGTATACAGTTGTGCCTTAACACCTTTACATAAGCTCTCTTTGGTCCAAATGTCCTCTCTTCTGGTCCACCTGCAGCGTCCACTTGAAACAAGTGTCTTTATTTCTCAGTGCTTTGTTGGTGGTGGAATTTTCTGTGACCCTGCCGCCCTGGCCCAATCAAAATGCAGCCCCCTCTCTCTGGATCCCCATAGCCACTTTGCTTGTTCCTCTTTTATAACCTTTAACCATCTTATAAGACAGTGGGCTCAGTGACTAGGCTCTATGCCCCTTTGAATCTGCAGCCCCTACTACAGTGTTCAATAAAGGTTTCATAAATCCCACTGAATCATGTTCAGTTGCAGAGCTGACACTGGAAGGGAGAGCTACAGATACTATTCTGGGGCAGGGGACAGGGTGAAGGGAGCCTGCAGGTGAAAAAAAAAAAATGAAGCTTTAGTTCCAACCTAGCCCACGAAAGCAAGAAGCTGGGGGAAAATCCTTGGCCTATTTCTTTACCCAGGAAGTTGTCTCTGCTTAGTGAATTCCTGGAGACACGGATTCAAGTTTCAGTGGGTGTGGGGGAAGGGCAGAGACGACAGGTGACCAGTAAGGATGCTCTTATTAGAGAAGCATTAACAACGTTATATCTGGTGACTATGTGCCCCGTGTTCCCAGGACAGACCAGTTGATACTTGCAAAGTGTGCCGATAGAGAAGAGAAGTTACAGCTTTCTTGGTTATGGAGGTACAGGGATCCATGCAGAAACCAGCATATCTTAACATCTATTAAACTCTAAAAGGCTTACCTTCCACTAAAATTTTGTCAGAATTTGACTCTGTAAGAATGCTGTTACTTTTGGTCAAATTCTGAAACATCGAGAACCTTGCTCCAAATGGGTTTAAAATCTGAAACAGAATCTGACACTTCAAAGCTGTGCAGTGCCAGACAGTATTATAGAAAGTGTCTACCAGTTGGGGAGGCGTCTACACGTTGCATATCTGCAGGGGCGGGCACACCTCCAGGAGGTGCTCTTTGCATCTCATACACACGAGTGGCACCCTGTATAGCGTCAGCCTACTGGGTATTGAGCAGCTACTCTGTTAGAGGGGCCACAATGTTCAGATTCCCAAGACAATCTACCCAAGGGTCCTAATGTCCTAGGAAGTTACCCAGACTTCTCTTTCATCCCCAACAGTTATTTCCCTGGGTCTGGAATGTCCAGGGGTCAAAGCTCTGTTGTTGCGGAAGTCGGGACCCACGGAGGAAAGCCCACAGGTCGGCGAGCCCAGCCCAGTACCTTAGATATTCCGGCAGGTGGAGTTTGTCGGTCTTAGTGACCACCAGGGCAACGTCCCGGCAGAAGCCCCTTTGGCAGGCTTTGATGCTCTCATTCAGAAGGTCTGCATGGGCTCTCCCTCCAGAAACTCTTTCGATGTCACTGATCACCCAGATCACTGAGCATTTATCAATGGTCTGTGGAACATAACCACAGTAGGTTTAGGAACATAAGTGGCGTCTCAGTTGTAGAGGACATGACCCCTTAATGTATCATTCATGTCCTCTGTGCTCTGCCCCATCTCTCTTCCAGTCCTACCTCTCAGCTCTCCGCACCGCACTCTCCATGTACCAGCTCAAGGCTGAGCTTCTTGAAGTTCCTCACATGTAACTTGCTCTTTTATCCCTCAAGACCTTTGCACTTGCCACAACCTCTGCTTGACCTCCGTTTGCCCTTTGAGACTCTGCTAATGACCACGTGAGGATGGATTGGACACCCCACCTCTGCATCCTGCAGCACCTGGACTTACCTACTTACCTCTCAGAGTTATTGTATAGGATCGGCTCTCTGTACCACCCCACCCCACCCCACCCCTAGATTGTGAGGTACTTGATGGGAAGAGGCTGCACTTTTCAGTGGAAAATTCACATCACCTTAGGCACAGTGCTTGGCCCCTCTTAAAGGATTCATAGATATTTGCGGCATTAGTGATTGATAGAATTCAAGAAATCAGACCTCCAGCCCCAGATCCATCACTGGCTTGCTTTACCTCAGTTGTCTTCTAGGGAAAATTATTGTTTTTCCAGAACTAGTTCTGGTCATGCATCCAGACCACAAAGTTATCAGCAGAGGGCATCATTTCCATGTTTGACTGCCCCTGCATATTCAGCACACTGCCACTATGTGGGGGCAAGGAGCCAGGACCTTAGGATTCAAGTTGCAAAGGGCAATGGACAAGAAATTACAATTGATTAAAATCATAAAGATTGTTCTATTAGATATGCAACTTTTATGTGACAAGTAATCGTGGGCTGCCTTGTGACATTTCTCTTACTGTACTGTTTCACTTGTTTTACCTCTCCATATAAATGAAAAGCTGGTCCAGCTCAGGGATTGAGTTTTTTCTGAGGTTTCTCAGGACAGCACTTTGCTCATAGAGGTGTAACAAGTTTGTGACTTGCTAATTAAACCATTATTTTACTTTATGCCAATGGTTCTTAAGTTGAGACAATTCTGTACCCCAGAGGACATCTGGCAGCCTCTGGAGACATTTTAATATATTTTTTAAAGATTTTATTTATTTATTTGAGAGAGAGAGAGCATGCAGGGGAAAGAGAAAGAGAGAGAGCATGAGCAGGGGAGGGGCAGAGGGAAAGGGAGAAGCAGGCTGCCTGCTCAGCAGGGAGCCTGATGTGGGGCTCGATTCCAGGACCCTGCGATCATGACATGAGTGGAATGCAGATGCTTAACTGACTGAGCCTCCCAGGCGCCCCTGGAGACATGTTTAATTGTTATGACTTGGGGTAAGCTAGTGGGTAGTGGGTAGAGGACAAGGATGCTGCTAAACATCCTTCAGTGCCCAGGAGAGCAGCCCCACAACAACGAATTACCTGGCTCAAAATGTCAACAGTGCTGAGGCTAAGAAATCTTGGGTTTCAAGTTTGTTTTTGCAGTGGACCCTTTTCAAATGAAATATTAGGAAGATTTCCAATTGATTTTTAAAAACTGAACTGCTTTAGTTGAACTGGAGATGGAGGGTTTGGAGTCCCCACCTGCTCAGTATCCTCAACCCTCTGTCCATGGATCTCTTGGCTTTATGGATCATTATTTTAAAGCCATCAATCTTTAGAGTTAGACAAACTTCACTGTTTTACAGAGAGGATAATAGACCCCTGAGATGCAAAAGATCGGTTTAAGGCCATACAACTATGGGTCCTGAACCTCCTCCTTATGTGGATGGACTCACATTTAGGCAGGAAAATAAAAACAACTGCTCCCTCCCACTTCCCAAATTATAATCTATCCAGGGAAGCTTCTCGCTATTCAATCAGGTTGTGGAAGATCGTAGGCTACCAGGCTGCAAGCTCCCCCAAGGGCAGAGCCTCTTTCACCTTCGTATTCCCATGGTCCCGGGCAACTGCAGGTGCTTCCTAAATGTTTATTGACATGAGAAGAAGACTGCAAATTTCGGGCCCTACACAAGGCTCTGACTGCCAGGATTTGGTCAAGTTAGAGTGGCAGAAGACATAAAAAAGCTTACCTAGAGCTACTGAATTTAGGAGTGGGTGGGGTGGCATCCCTGCCCCCCCCCACCAACTCCCTCCCATGATGAGAATGGGACCTCAGAGAGTTCAGGTGGCATGCCTAAAGTGTCATGACTTCAAGGTGGCAGACAGACAGACACATGAATTCATAATAGTCTTAGCTTAGGGAAGGCATGGCTGGCAGCTAGAGAGATGGGGGAGGGGGCATTGTGCTCTGTTCTCCCTAAAAAGTGGGGAGTCTTTAGTCACTCCCTGTGAGAGAATCTCACAAAACCGCAGGAATGCAGGGGAGCTGAGGCCAAGCAGAGGAGGCTGGAAACCATCCCTTCCCTATAGCCCGACCTCCTCAGAGAGGGTGCTCTGAGCCAGATCTGCTGGCTCCTCTGTTCTGAGTGGCCTTTGATAGGCTGCCCAGCTTATCATAACTGGCAGTGACCATGGCTCCATCCAGGGAGAGAGGCTGGCTGCCTCCCTAGGCTGTTGCTCTCCGGGCCTAGCCTGTACTAGCCAAGGCTGGCGATTGCACTCCAAGAGCTGAGACCCTGGCCCTCATGTCAGGACCTGAGCAGACTACCAAGGGGAAGGACATTGGGACTGCCTTTATCTTAGAGAACTATTAGAGGAGGTGCTGTGGGGAGAGATAGAGCCTCAGCCGGGAAGGTAGGAACCTGCCCTCTGTTTCAAATTCTGCCATTCAGTAGCTGTGTGGTCTTGGGCAAATTACTTCCTCTCTCTGAGCCTTTATTTCCTCGTCTGTAAAATCAGGGCATAGGCTGATTATCTGTAAGCTGTCATCCTGATCCTATCATCCCAATCTTAACTGCAAACCGGTCTTAAAGCTCCCCTGGCCCATAGTCAGAATCTGCAGAATTTAAAGTTTGCATCTAGCAGAGAATCAGTGGTTCTCCAATGGAGCCTTCTACAGCGCTGGGCTGATCATGACTCAGTGATCCCAGCCCTCCCTCCCAGTCCCCTTCCAGCTCCAGTCCTATGCCTTGTCCCTGTGCTCCCACCCTGTGCTCCTGAGCTCCTCTGCCTAAAGACACACTTTCTCTATCACATACCCCAGTCCCTTTTATCCTTTGAGCTTCCCCAGGAAGAATAGTATTCAAGCCCAACCCCCAAGTTTTCCAGGCTTACCTCTGTGCCCCTCTCCTCTACACCCCACACCCCTTCCCTCCAGCCACCCTGAAAGACTCATCCTTCCCCCAACACTTGGCTCCTTCGTTCCTCTGGGTCTTTGCTGCTCTCTGGCCTAGAACAGTGCTCAGGGGTCCCATTCTCAACAATCTTCTCTGGTGACTGCTGAGCTCAAGTGCCCTCTCTGAAGCTTCCCTCACATGCAAAAAGAATTCATCACTTTGTGCCGTCATAATTAAGTAAAGTGGTTTGTTCATTAATATGACTAATTAGATTCCCTTCCAGACTACAAGACTGCCAAGGGCAAGGACTTTATCTCTGTCCATCCAAAACCTAATGCAAAATTGAGGAGAGGCTCAGTGGGTGTTTGCTGAAGGAATGAGGTCTCTTGTTGAAGGTAATTTCTATTTTTGAGTGTTCATAGCGCCTTGGACTTCTCATACATCATGTTCTGCCAGGGATTTAGTCATCTGTAGGTGTCTTCTCTCCTGTTAGACTCTGAGCCCCTTGAAGTAAGGCTCTGCTTCTCATTCAATAGTGGTTTATTTTCCTTTCAGCTTTTTAGTTATATAGGTAATACACGTTCATGCAAAATATACAAACAACACACAGGTGTGCATAGTAGAGTGGTAGTAAGCACAGAAACTCTTGTTAACAGTTGGGTGTGTATCCTTCCAAAGGCAAGATTCTACTTTTGCTGTTCATTTGCAAACATTACACACACATACAGGCACACACATACATGCTTCTTAACATTAAAGATCATGCTCTGCATCTTTTAATTTAGCTTTGTTTTACCATGTAGGATTATAGTAGGGTTTAAGAGCAGAGAGGCTCTCGAGCATCCTGCCTGGGTTAAAATCCCCAGGGTGATAATGGGCAACTGACTTCACTGAGATCAGTACCTAGCACAAAGTAAATGCTTGGTAAATGTCTGCTATTATTATTATTAGCTATAATCTTTGCATCCTCAGTGCTAAGTACATTGTCTTACATATTATATGTTTGATGAATGAAAAACAAATGAACAAAGAGATAAATTCTTAAAAATATTTCAACCTCTAATCATTAGGTACAGATCTAACTACCCCAATGCTTAACTCACGGGCTGTAGACATATCTGGAGGTGCCTGCTCAGCTCCAACTTCATTTGCTAGGAATTGAAACCCTACCCAAGATTTTGGCTGAAAGTAGACTTTCAACCACCACCCTCAGCCACAGCTGATTGCACTAAGGATACTTAATCCAGAGAGGGTTAATCATTAGCTGTGCAGTAATTGGTCCCGTTTTCCTTCTTAGGAATGAACTAAAGCACATAGAGACTGAAGTCAGACAGTCATAGGTGTATGAACTACAACGTCATTAGAGACAGGGGTAGGGTGGTCATTCTCCACAACGTGGAACCTAAGGACTATGTAGAGAAAGCTAAGTGAAAAGCAGGACTCTGCAGAGCAATGCACAAAGAGAAACAGTCACAAGAACCAGGCAGAGGATGAGAGAGAAAATGGCAGCTTCTGTCCTGATAGGTGGCCCTGAGGTCTGGCTGTCTCAGGAGATCCTTGGATACTCTTTTGATTAACCCCTCTTAGCTTGGGATTGCTTTAGCAGGTCTCTGTGCCTTACAACTAAACACCTTAGCCCCCTCCTGGTTCCTTGGTGCTAGGCTCTCAGCTTCTGCACTTTGTACCCACCCCTTGGTCTCCCCTTCTCTCCCTCTGTCTGCATTTCCTCTGCTTACTCCTAGACCGATCTACTCGGTTGCTGACTTTTCCCCTGTACCGCATACTCTTGTTCTAGCTTTCTGGCCTACCTCATGATTCCTCTCTCCCCAGTTTCTCTGGCCACCCCTCTCCTGCCATTGCCCTGAGGCTTAGAACCTAGAAAGTAGAAGAATTTAAACCTCGTGAGCTCATACAATCCCTGCAGCTGAAAGCAGAGCATTCTTTGTTGCTTTAGAAAGGGTGGAGGAGTTGAGGGAGGAGGGAACGAAGTCACATGAAAGAGAATCACCTTTTTCCACATCTCATCCCTCTTGCTGTTGAAGTCACCTGTGCCTGGAATGTCTACGAGTACAACGCCTTCTGGAATCAGCTCTGATTTGGGAAGAGTCACTTCCACATGTTTGATCAAGGGCCAGATTTGTGTCTCGGCTGACTCTCCATCCAGGTCTCTCCTCTGAGTCCGGATGTAGGGGTCCAGCTTGACAGACAGCTCTCCTGCCTGAGGAAGAAGGACAAAGTCACACACACCAGACATTCTCCCAGTTCCTCGGTCCTGGCTCAGCTGTGATTCAGGTTCAGCAAAGGTACACTGAGTAATGGTAAGAAACAGCACTGGGCAATGGATACCGGGAGGCCTGTGATCCCATCTGCAAGGGTCTATGCTCTGAGAGCCAGAAGGGACCCTGGAGATCAGAAAGTGCAAGCTCCTTAATGTACAGATGAAAAAACCAGAGCCAATTAGAATGGGGCTTCAGCAGAGTTATAGCTTCACTGGATAACGATTTCATCCTTGAAATTCCATTTCAATTCTTACTCTTTTTTTTTTAGATTTTTTATTTATTCATTCAAGACACAGAAACACAGAGAGAGAGAGAGTGCATGAGCAGGTGGAGAGGCAGAGGGAGAAGCAGGCTCCCCGCTGAGCCAGGAGCCGGACGTTGGGCTTGATCCCAGGACCCTGGGATCATGACCTGAGGTGAAGGCAGACACTTAACCATTTGAGCCACCCAGGCGCCCTCCATTTCCATTCTGAAATTAATGTTATTAATATGCAATTGTCTACATTTTGGAGAGAGGGCATTCTTCCCCCATGGCTAATGCAAATATCGGGATTACCAGAAAGCCCTGACTAGGGGCTTTGGTGATATTGGTGAAATTGATGGTGATATAGTGACCATATTTTCCAAATTGAAAATTGGTCTGAAATTGATCTTTAAAAAGGTTTTTAAAATTTCTCTTCCAAGTACAAAAAATATCTGGACGCATAGGCATTTCTAGAATGTTATAATGATGAGGGGAATGGGGAACTGTTCTCAGCCCACTTTCCTAGCTAAACATATCTTCAGGCAATGACATATTTATGCCAGCAACCATGTGTGACAGCAAATCTCTACTGGGATACTATTTCAAAGAAGATTTGGGATATATGGTGGTCATTTTTTAAAAAGATGTATTTATTTGAGAGAGAGAGAGAACACTGAATGGGGGGTGGGCAGGGGAGAAAGGGAGAGGGAGAGGGAAAGAGAATTTCCAGCAGACTCCCTACTGAGCACGGGGCTGGATCCCATGACCCTGAGATTACGACCTGAGACTAAATCAAGAGTTGGACACTTAAGCAACTGAGCCACCCAGGTGCCCCTTCGGTGGTCATTGTTAAAAAATATCTATAGAATGGTCCTGAGAGAAAGATAAGAACAGAAATTCTTAAGAGTTGAGATTAAATCAGGGGATTTGTTGCAATCTGGGTAGGGAGTTATGGAATTCATCGATTCTAATCAAATAACAAGAAATTGTGAAAGAAAAGATGATAAAAGTTCTTTAAGATATTTAATTTAAAACTAAAGCAGATACTGGGGCGCCTGGGTGGCTCAGTTGGTTGGGTGTCCAACTCTTGGTTTCAGCTCAGGTCGTGACCTCATGGTCATGAGGTTGAGCCCCGTGTCAGGCTCCCTGCTCAGTGCGGAGTCTGCTTAGGATTCTTTCTCCTTCTGCCCCTCCCACTCGTGCTCCCTCTTTCTCTCTCTCTCTGAAATAAATAAATAAATATTTTAAAAAATAAATAAAGCAGATACACTAAGGGCAATGTGAAAAAAAAGCATGGCCTTGAAAAGTCCCTTTGAATAAGAAGAAGGCTTACCCAATAAACCGGCTCAGGACAAACCATTCTGGGAGGCAAACTCAACTTCCTCATTCCAGTCTAGAATCCTGGACTCAAACTTTGAATCTGTGTCCTCACTCACTGAGATGTAATTGTGTTTCTTTTTTTTTTTTTAAGATTTTATTTATTTGGGGCACCTGGGTGGCTCAGTTGGTTAAGCGACTGCCTTCGGCTCAGGTCATGATCCTGGAGTCCCAGGATCGAGTCCCGCATCGGGCTCCCTGCTCGGCAGGGAGTCTGCTTCTCCCTCTGACCCTCCTCCCTCTCATGCTCTCTGTCTCTCATTCTCTCTCTCTCGAATAAATAAATAAAATCTTTAAAAAAAAAAAGATTTTATTTATTTATTTTTGAGAGAGGGAGAGAGAAAGACACAAGCTGGAGGGGGGGGAGGGTAGGGTCAGAGGGAGAAGCAGACCCCCTGCTAAGCAGGGAGACCAGGCTCGATCCCAGGACTCTGGGATCATGACCTGAGGTGAAGGCAGAGGCTTAACCGACTGAGCCACCCAGGTGCCCCTGTAATTGCGTTTCAGTATTTCAACTCCTACTTTCAAGGGGTAAATTTGTAACATTGGGAAGGAATATTTCTAAATACAGAGTAGTGAAGAAATGGATACTATATTGATACCTTGGTGTAACACTTGGTTTAAGTTGAGTGTGTGCAGATAAAGTAAACAGTTCTGTAATCATTGTTTCTCTGGACATGCTCAGTCTAAGTTTTAGACATTAGTGTAATTATTTTGAACAGTAATACCCATTTAAATGTAAGAAGTGACTATTAGATTTGTTTGATTTCCTAGATATACAAGAGCTAAGTGCCTTGAAAGATTTCATTTATTTGACTTCTAAGTGTGCCTGATCGAGTATTTAAAAATTTTTGAGAGAACAGAATATATTAAATCTGAACTGTAACACAAAAAGTCTAAGGAAACTTGATTAATTATATAAGTAAGCATTAGCTACTTAAGGAGGACTTGCTATGTTAACCTTAGGAGATAATTGAACATTAAAATTTAGAACAAGTGTAAGTAATTGTTCTTATTTCATACAAAAAAATTCCAGATTTATAAATAGAATAACAATATTTTAAACATGAATTTTAAGAGACAAGAAACACTAGGTTTTAAATGTATAATTGTAATAAATTACATATTAGTTCCATAAGTGTTTTACTTTAATTTAAAATGAAATAATAAAATGAATATTGATTATAGAAGTGAGGAGAGCATTGTTCTACTTGCTGCATATCCAATATCCAGCCTGTCCTTTGTCCATGCTAGCAGAATAGTGCTTGTTTGTTTGTTTGGGCAGTGGATTGAGATTGGTCCCAGCCAGTCATAACACATTTGCTTCTTGCTTTAGATTCCCTTTCAGCTAGGAAAGGCCATGCGACTGAACCAGAGACCTGTTCTGAACAAGAAAATCTACCCAGAAGTTTGTTGGGGGTGTTTCTGAGAAAGCTTTTACTTTCCCAGGAAAGGGGAGATGTGGTTGGTGCCAACTTTTATCCATTTCTTTCCTCCATGAAGCCAACTGTGAAGTCCAGCACTTCAGTAGCCATCTTATGAGTATGAGGCAACAAGTTTGAGGGAAGGCCAAGGAAACCCGGGAGGTGTTGATCTTGACATTGATGAGCCATTGAACCAACCCACAAACCCAACTGCTTCCAGACTTCTTATGTGAGAAAATGAACAAATCCCTATTCATTTAAGCCATTATAAATTGGGTGGTTTTGTTTTTAAACATTTGTAGCCAAAGCAACCTTAATTAATCCTCAAGTAACTGTAAATAGTCTTCCCTGTGCACAAAAGACCCCCCAGTCAGATACTAACATTTCTCATTTGACAGCCATAAATAATGAAAAAGAACTTGGGCAGGGATACTTCTGAGTCGGGTATCAACTCATTTCCAATAAAAACACTGTGCCATGAGCAAATCTCCTAAATGAATTCAATTCTTATACTTGTGACTCATGATAAAATAAAGAAAGAAATCTCAAAGCTACCTCTTCTGCCTTGAGGGTGATGATTCTGGAGGTGGGAATCTTTCCTTTAGGCTTTGCCCTTAGTAACTCTTCATAGTTCTTTCTTTCTGCTCCATTTCCATAAAACATTTGTAGCTTCCAGATGGCTTCCTCCACGGCATCATCCCTGTCCCACGCGTCTGCCTCTTCTCTGTCTAGTTCCTCTGTCCTGTGCAGGAGTTTAGTCAAGTTCTTCAGCTCTTCCTTCCACTCCTGCCAAGGGAGAGTAGGGCCAAGCCCCTCATGACACAGATATGGAAAACAATGAAAAAGGGAAGTAGTCCATTGTTCCTGTGGAGGTGGTGAGGGGCTGCATATATCCAAGAACTCTAAAATCATCTAATCCTACAAGGGATCATCTAATCCAAACCTCTTGTTTTGTCATTAAGGAAACAGGGACCCAAGGAGGGAAATGGCTTGCCCAAAGTCCCATAACAACAGTGACAGGATACAGGCTAGAACCCCCATCTCTCTCTACAGAACTTTCTCATTCTGTACTTGTTTTTTTTCATTCAACAATGGCATAAACTATATTTACAAGGAATATAATGTTAATCTCTAAGAGAGAGGGAAAAGGAAAGAAAGAAAAGGAAGGGAAGAAGAGAGGGAAGGAGGAAATAAAGGAGGGAGAGAGGGAGGAAATAAAGGAGGGAGAGAGGAAAGAAAACAGGGATGGGAAAGAGGAAGGAAGGGAGGGAGGGAGGAAGGAGACACTTACCTGGTCAGAGAGAAGGTGGATTTTGGCCTCATACTGCTCACAGCAGCCCGAGCTCACTTGTACAATACATGAGGTACATATACTTTCTCCAGATACTGGTAGAAACATTGCTTGCTGGATGATGGCATTGATCAGGGAGCTCTTCCCAGCCCCCGTGCTTCCAAATAATCCAATGTAGATTGGGTCCAATGACGGTTTTTCAATCAAGGCAAGAAGCCTGTTTCTAGATTGATTTTTTAATGCACATTGTAATGGTCATCAAAGCACAGTGGGAAGGATATAAAAATAGAACACGAAGGAAGTAAGTTCCAATCCTAGGCGAGTCATACATGTTTTTGAATCTCTGCTACTTTCTTGATCAGAAGGGAATATTAGTCCCTGCTTCCTACACAGAGTCGTCATTAGGCTCAAAAGAGATTATGCAAAAATACTTGGTCATGATAATTCTATACAAACTCTGTAATGCCTATCCAGATGTGAAGCATCCTGGTTTGTGTTCTTTGGAAATTACATAGTCTTGATCCTAGAAATAAATTTTAGGCAGAGGTAAAGTATTATTGGGAGCAACCCAGAGACTTTCCGAGCAGGAGATTCAGCCCTGGCACCAATCAAGTCCTTCAAGTCAGCTCAGCCCAGGGGTTGAGGCCACAGGCTAGAGTTTCACACAGCCTGGGTTGGATTCTGGCCCTTTAGTTTACCAACAGTGTGACTCTGGTCAATGTCTTGGACTCTCTAAGCCACAATTTCAGTAAAATTGGGATGATAATAATAGTTCTTCCTTTATAGGGGTATTGGGACAATTAAATGAAATTTTATATATGTAAAATATTTAGCAGGTTAGCTAGCAAGAGTGGCAATCCAATGAATGGCATAAATAAATAAATAAATAAATACCCATAGCTACATAAATGTTCAGCCTTCTTTGCTTAGTTTCTAATTGAAAATTCCCTTTCATTGTTGGAGAAAAGCATCTACAATCCCCTAAGGAAAGAATGGATGGAAGATTTGATAGGTAGCTGATATCAGACTCACATGAGATACTTGACTCCATTAGGAATGCTGTCATCCAGGAAGACAGACTGAATAAGTTTCTGATACGTGTTGCTCAAAACCCTTCTGGTCCGTGACTCCAATTTTTCATCTGGAATCAACAGGAATGTATTACCTGGCACGTACCTGGCAGAGGTCAAGTACTACATCTCCAAAAGAGGAATGTGCTCAGTATCACAGAGAAAGGAAAAAAAAAAGAAATGAAATGAAAAGCCAATTAAATATGATAGCAAGTTATGTGATACTAGCGATAATTGCCCATAGGAGATAGCAATTACTGATTGAGAGCCTCCCAAGGAGCTAGCCTGCTCTGAAACTCCTTGTAACAGAAGTCAGCATATGCTTTGCCATGGGCTATAGCCCTTCTAGATTCTTCTCTCCTGTGGTCATAAAAAGAAAAATTGCCGGGGCATCATAGAAATATTCACCAAGGCATCAAACCAACCATTTTCACAGTCTTCGTTCTAATCAGAAAGAGGTTATTTTGATAACAACCCTCCTATCCAGAGACTCCTACAGATGAATTGTCAAATTATAGATCTCTGTAGACTCTGAGGCCTCCTTTTCTGGATCAGGATCATTTGAAAATATTTCATCCTTCTTTCCAATTTAACCTTCTCCTCCTTTGAGCATTTTCACACATTTGGAAAAGAACAGAGCCACATTGGAAGAAGCCACATAGCAGTCATAACACTCACATTCTTTAAGAGCACTTTGTTCCATGGAGGGAAATGCTCGGAACCTCTGGTCTCTATCTGAACGTCTTCTTTTTTTCATTGGTTCTTTAAATACATCATCGTCAACTAGACATAAACAGAGGTTATATAAAATTAGAAGTCTTGGGGCATAGTATACTTGCCTGATCTCTATCAGTACACAAACCCAGAGAATCTAAGAAGGCTCCTGCCAGCTCTGTATGCCTGTAAACTCATATCAGAAGCAGGCACAGTTGGGCCATTCCAGTCTGGTTGCTAATTCCCAGAGTCATAGCACTTTGCATCTAGCTCCAAAGTGCCGTCTAACATATCTCCCCAGAAATGAAATGAAAAGTTTGGAAATCCCGAGAAGCCAAAATGGCTGGATATTCTTCACTAAATGCCAACTGTGTACAGAGAAGCCCAAGATAGGACTAAGTGTGGGGTGAAGAAAGGCCTCTGGGAGGTCTTTTCAAACTGGGAAAGAAATTGATCAGGAGCCGAATGCGGAGGAAAGAATGGGCCACATAACCAGGGCAAATAATTTCTCCTTGATCATCTGTAAGATGAGAGGGCCGACAAAAAATATACTCAATGTAACAGTGTGGGAGGGTGTTCTACCAGTGGATGATGCCCTTCAGAGGTTAAATTTGGAAGAATTTTCCCCCTTCTTCATTGAAAGTCATTAGCAGCTGCTTCCTTACATAAAAAGGAAGGGAAATCTCTAAGAAGCAAGTCTTTGTAGTTCTCCAGAGATTTATTCACTTTAATGGTTTCCTTTGGTTATGAAATGAAGGGCTGGTAGGGTCCATAATCCTTGGGAAAGGGCACAACCAAAACACTGTGTTTTGGATGAGTTTTAGAAAACATCCCCTGGTGGTCTCCACCTGGTTAGAAAAGGGCCATAAGTGGGTCTTTGGGGTCAAGGTGATTGGAAATGATCCTAACCCAGTGCTCCTGGGATTGGGAAATGGCCATGAGATGAACCCTAAGAGTTGATCCCCAAGAGTCATGGCACTCTAAGCTCATACAGGAGCGTGAGGCCCCCAAACTGAGCATGACACTTGGGAGGTCATCTTCCCTGAAGAACCACAGAGAAGTTTCACTTTGGGACCCAGAATAGCAGCCTGTGCAGAAGGCCCAACCTCCACCACTGGGCTCCAGACAGCAGGTCTTCCAGACGGTTCAGCCTTACGGCTTCCAGGACAAATCCTGCCATGTCCTGGAGCCAGTTTACACCCCAGAAAGTATTGCAGTGCAGTGGGATGCTGTTTGCCAAAGCCCAACTCTCTGCCACTTCATGTTCATGCAGTGACAGGGAGTTGAAAGAGCTTGTATTTCAGACCCTCCTGTCTCAGACATTCCAACTTCTTTGATCGAGCTCAACTCAAAGAATTCATCATGGCTTAGTTTAAGGATTGCATAGAATTAAATACCAAGTTGCTGGCTCAGTGGTTGGAGCTGGAGAAAAAGAAGCAGGGAAGAAAAGAATCTGCCACTCAGGCCACCCTAGACCAGCTACAGGCCGAAGAATACTTTAGTCCATGTTATAAAAGGTGTCTCAGGATTCCAACCTTCGTGTCTTAAGTGAAGGATGTCAGGCTTTGATCTCGACTTCAGAACTCAGGAACTCTTTTTTGCAAACAGTATGTGCATAGTATCTTAGCCATGTGTATAAAACAAGGGATGGGCCCATGTATCCATGGCCTTTATTTCAATTTTATAAGCACTGGCAATTAATCTGATAAAAGATCGGAAGCTTATTTCTCAACCAAAGCAAAGGCTAAGAAGTCAGATAAAATAGCAGGGTTTTAAACTTTTTCTTCAATTTCTAAAATGAAAAGCCCCTTGGAAAGGAGAAAGTATTCTATCTGGGATTTGGACCATTTAAGGGTACTCTTGCTATATAGATTGTAACTGGAATGAACTGGTCTGAACTGGCCACATCTCTTCTCATTCCTTGTAACTGCTCAAGCACTCCCTCTCCTTTTCCAGCATTTTAAACTGAATCACCCTAGAAAAAGAGCAGTAGGGGTGGGTGGGGGCAGTCCAAAGCTAGTCTACTGCTGCTGTTGCTTCTTGCTGCCACCAGGTGTCGCTTTTGAAAAACTGATCCTTAAAAGCCGGACACAGGATACGGGCTCATTAATCCCGAGGGTTGCTGGACAGAGAGTGCCATGGATCTTCCAAGCAAGCTCTTTCAGGGCTAAGCTCAACCAAGGGTGCCCCAATGTTATCATTCTTTCAGTTTACGTGACCAGCCATGCCTCGGATGCTAGCCACCACCCCACTGACCCAGAAACCGTGTATTCCTTGCACCTCAGGGATTTCATCCCCTGTGAGTGAGGAATTTTTCCTCTCAATTCTCAAAACACAAAGGATGTGGTACTCCCTGTTTTCTGTACATAGGGGTTACTTTCCTGCATCTTCCTAGAGAAGGCTCCCTCCTTGGCTCCAGGGGCTCTACATCAGCCTTCTAGGGAGGGAGGCCGCCCTCCCTGACTGCAAAGGCTTTCACCCTATGTCTCCCCTTCTAAGAAAAGCACCTGATATGATTCCAGGGGCCTTACCTTGCCCATTCCAAGAGAGATTACTCTCAGAAAATCCAAGATGGGTTTCTGGAACCTCCTTTTAAAAGGGCTGTGTGTGTGTGTATACAAATATAATTGCTGGTCAGACAATCTACTACATTATGAATAGTCTATTTTAGTTGTTGAAATAATTTATATTCATTCACTATTATACCATGTCATAAGAAATCAGCTTTTGAATAAAGAGGAAGGAACACTGACTATAATTAAATACAGTCTCAACCCATTGGCCCTTCATTATATAATGATAAATAGGAACTATTTATTCCATCAGGGAATATTGTAGGGATGTTACCTGGATGTGGCCCCTGACCCACAAAATCCTCAGTGTCTTCCATCTTCTGTTATGCAAACACCTGCTTTTGTCCACTTAGGAGAACCAGCCTGAAAATACATACAAAGTACAAGGGTGGGGGTGGGGATAACAGCAGAAGTTCTAAATACAAAAAGCAAAACAAAAACAACAACAATGTGTAAATCTGCTTATGCTTTGTTTCCCCGACTAGATTCCAAGCTCCTAAAGGGCAGTAGCCATTCTAACTTGTCTTTGAATTCCTCATAACATATGCTACATGTCTATTTAAACATGACAAAGATCCATGTTGCACTATTGGTTTTCAATAGTCCTTACATCTATAGAACTTTAAACTGATATTATCTGAGATCTTTGACTACCCACTCTGAAATAACCATAAACCTCCAGTGATCAGAGCCATAAAGGTGAGATTATATGGCTTTACTCCTTTGGGTGACATAAATGGCCCAATCAGGTAAGCCTTGGGTTCCGTTATATTTAGTTCCAGCAGGTCTCAGCAAGAATCTGGAAGATGGATGGAACATTTGATATTCCTAGGGTTCCCTGGAGTTGCTTTGGGAGCTACTGAGTCGGGCAGGAGAGCTGCGATAACTAGGTTCTCTGGATCTTCTTTTTTTTTAAAGATTTTATTTATTTATTTGAGAGACACACACACACACACAGAGCACAAGCAAGTGGAGGGACAGAGGGAGAGGCAGAAGCAGACCCCCGCTGAGCAGGGAGCCTGACATGGGGCTCGATCCCAGGATTCCAGGATCATGATCTGAGCTGAAGGCAGACACCAAACCAAATGAGCCCCTTCTCTGGATCTTCTTTGCCACCTCACTCCACTTCGACGAGGAAGACACACCTACTCGGCTCTATATGCAGCACCACAGCTTGGGGTATCTGCAGGGTTAGGGGGTGGGGCGAAGAGAGGCACATCCAAAAGGAGAAGTGTCAGATCCCACCTGCCTGCAGCCCACAGGCCGACAGACCTTGGGCATGGAGAAAGAACAGGGCCAAGAGAGGCCCAGAACAGAGTGCACTGCACAGACTGGGTAGGGATATGCTATCCTGGAGCTTCTTTGTCTCCACACATAGAGAAGAATTTGAGCAACACAGGTGGGGAGCTTCCTCTCCTTATCTGATGTTGCTGTGTGGATCACTCAGCCATGTATTTCAAAAGCAGACAGTCACCGGCCCTTTTGAAAAATGCAAAATCCCACCTGATCTGTCAACTGCCACTAGACTCCTGGGCTGTTAGAGTCAAAACAGCCTCTTCTGCTTAGCTTGGCTGGTGGATATTAACTGGCCAAATGGTTTCTGTACTTGGTAGGTGTTGGCTGGATGTGGTGGGAATCCCTACTATGTGCAAGGTCCTGAGGCTGAGTTCCTCATCTCTCCATTCTTTATCCTGAGGCTCCCTCTCAGACCACCCCAAACTCCCTACAGTTCTCTAAGGCACGGCCTCCTAATCATTCATGCAGTTTAGCGTAGGCTCTTCTCTCTGTGTAGGGTATCCTTCCCCTCTTCTTCCTGGTGAATTCCTACTCTTTCTTTAAGACCCTGTTTTAGCATTTCCTCTTTGAAACTGTCCTGATTTCCAATCATTCCCCTCTTGTGTCACCACTGCTCCAAGCACACCTCTGTTATACTCCTTTCTTGCCCCTTCCTCCTTTCTGAACCATGAGCTATTGGAGGTTCTATCTACATTTGTTTCAATGTTGCATTTCCATCATGAAGTGCAATGGCTGAAAATAAATGTTGAATGAATGAATGGATGAAATAAGGGATGGGAAGCTTCTGATGAGATTCTACACCATAGGATGTTTTTTTTTAAGTTTTTATTTAAACCAAATTAGTTTTTGATACAATTAGAGTCCCAGCTTAAAGAGTAAAGCAAAGAGTAGGAACAAGAGGACAAGTATGCAAATGGAACAGCAACAACCATGAATAGTGTTGGGAATGCTGAACTTGACAAGGGGATGGTAAGGCAAAGGCAGAAGATGTGGATAGGACTTCACAGCGGTCTTCAAATACATGACCTTAGAGTTGCATATCCAAGAGGGATGATACATGTTTTCTGCGGTCCCAAAAGAGGACCACTAGGGCACTTAGCTTTCGTGGAAGGTACATTTCGGCTTAACATACTCTAGTAGTTAGAGTTGTCCAAATGCAATGAGCTCCCTTAGAAAGTAATGAATTTTCTGCCACTAAAGGTCTCTGAACCTATACTGGGGGGACCACTTAACAGCGACATCCAACTAGATGAATTTTAAGGCCTCTTCAAATCCCAAGATTCTATGTTCTTACTTGAATTGTTTGCCAGCAAAGCTAGTAGTAGAAGTCCTCTACGAGGTCACAAAAATTCACGAGAGACACAAGCAGTTCCTGGTTTGTAATGCTGAGTTGGAAATGTTAAGTCACATCAACACCTAAGTAAGATAGGAAAACAAATGTGTAGATGAGCTATAATGTGTGCAAGTATATGGCAATGCCTATCAATAACTTGATTTTTTTTTAAGTAGGCTCTATGCCCAACATGGGGCTCAAACTCATGACCCAGAGACAAAGAGTTGTGCTCCACCAACTGAGCCAGCCAGGCGCCCCCCCATCAATAACTTTAGATACAGAACTAGGAATTACCCCAAGGAAGAAAGCGATCTGTTGTTTTCTGAAGACAGCAGCTCAATGAGCCACAGTCACACAAAATGTTAGGCACCGTATCAGAGGTGTATCCAGCACAGAGCTTGACACTTAGTAGGTGCTTAACAAATGCTTGCTACAAGAATGAACACACTCGGGGCGCCTGGGTGGCTCAGTCGTTAAATGTCTGCCTTCGGCTCAGGTCATGATCCCAGAGTCCTGGGATGGAGCCCCGCATTGGGATCCCTGCTCAGTGGGGAGCCTGCTTCTCCCTCTCCCTCTGCTTGCCACTCCCCCAGCTTGTGCTCTCTCTCCGTGTCAAATAAGTAAATAAAATCTTAAGAAAAAAAAAAGAAGGAGATTTAGAGGAGAAGCAGACATGTTCAGCAAATCCTGAGCACTGGTTTTTGGCTTCCTTTAGGTTTGCAGGGACTTCAGTTCATCTAACTTCATTTATGAAACCAACGGTACACAATGGCTAGCAAAGGCTAGCCAGGGTTTGGCCTGGGCTTTGCTGCTGCATGCAGTGGAGACACCAAATCATGAGCCTCCCAATGCAGGGGCATCTATGGTACCAGTGCATGAGTAATTTGTGATCCCTCACTGAAATGTGGAGAAACTGGAAATGATTTGAGTTGTGGTGGTGGCAAATTGGGCTTCCAATCCCTTCTGCCAGTGTCCAAAGACTGGCAGGAAGAGACCATTTGATCAGTAAACCAAGACACTGGAAAGTGGGAAGGAATCACTAACAAAAAGGCTGAGAAAGTAGAATGAAAGAAACACCAGGCACTTAAAAGGAAAGCTTATAAATAGGTATCTCAATAGGGAGGGTAGTATGGTGCAGACACTCAGTCCATAGTCCCTGAGCTGAACTAGGTGATGGTAGAAAGGGCAATAAGCCACCAGTCAGGTGTAGAATGTACAGTTCTGGCTTTTCCATCAGTCAAAGGAGCTGTAGGACTTCAGACAAGTCATTTTTATCACCCTTGGTCTTAGTTTCCCCATCTATGAATGAAAGATTGATCTAGTCCTTCTCTGATTTAGTTGGATGCCAAAAGGATTAAAATTCTTTTTTTTTTTTTAAAGATTTTATTTATTTATTTATTTGAGAGAGAGAGAATGAGAGACAGAGAGCACGAGAGGGAAGAGGGCAGAGGGAGAAGCAGACCCCCTGCTGAGCAGGGAGCCCGATGTGGGACTCGATCCCGGGACTCCAGGATCATGACCTGAGCCGAAGGCAGTCGCTTAACCAACTGAGCCACCCAGGCGCCCAAGGATTAAAATTCTTAATTTGAAATGTCACCTGCCATTGAAACCAAGACTGTACCAATGATTAGGGCTCCTGTGCAATCAAAAGCAGCACAACCAAGATTCCTGTAATTTCAGGTTCATTTCGCTTTCAGGAGCAAAGGACCCATGGGTGCACAGTCCTTCCTCGAATTATGTGGGGATCGACTTTATCCCCAAGGAGAGGCAGTAATGGTGGTTGCATCTTGTGAAAGTTTGGCTGCTGTGGAGAAGCAATCGAAAAGAGTTCAAATTTATTGCTCATACAGGCAAGGTTTTCACATGTGGTTTATTTCACTTGTATTTCAACTGCGCGGTTAGCACTGAAGTTTTGATTTTAGTGCTTATTTACATTCATGTGCACTGAGCCTAAGAATAGCATCTTTTAAATGAGACTCTCTGCATATTTAGCTAGATATGGGAAGGTTGCACAGAACGCATTTCCTGTTAAACAACTGTGACTTTTGACAGTTATTCTTGCTTCTCCGATTCTCCCTTTCTTGTTTGTGTTTACTTGATGTCTTTTTTTGACATCAAATGCACAAATGCATTTGCTTGATGTCTTTTTTTGACATCAAATGCACAAATTCAGTAGTTATCCCTTTATTAGAACAGCTTCATATACTGGAATTAAATAAAGAATGCTCTTGAGCCCCTTCTTCTACAGATATGGACACTGAGGCCCAGCGAGGGAAAGGAACTTGTCCAAGGTCAGAGGGACTCCAAGTTTAGTGTTCTCTCCATTCCACCAAGCAGCCTCTCATAGGTACTATATAAATAAAGCCTCTGGAGCTTAAGTGCAGGAGAATGGAGGGAACAGCGCTCACAAATGAGGGGCTCCTTCAAATACATAACAAAGGCATTTTGGAAATGAAGACTGTTGAGTAGGACTGAGAATAGCTACTCGATAAAATTGTACTTGGGACTCAAACTGAAGTTTTTGATTGAACATTCATTCTTCAGTGCCCTCAGAAGTAAAATAACCCAGCGTGTGTGTGTGTGTGTGTGTGTCTGTGTTTGTCTGTGTCTGTGTGTGTGTGTGTGTGTGAGAGAGAGAGAGAGGTGGGGGGGGAGAGACTGAGTAGAACACTTTCACTGCATTCCTTCTGTGTCTGATGCAGAATTGAATGTGCTTAAGAATTGCAAACATCCTGTCCTCTTCCCCCTAGCTCTTCTCCTTCAGCCAGAATCTCATCTCACCCCACCTTGCTTCACATCATTAACCCTTCCTAACATGATTCTTGTTATCCTTGCATTTCTGTCTCCTACCCCTACCCCCAAGGAAGCACTAATAGGAAAACATCAAAATGCCTAACTTAGCAAACTTCCTTTAAAGGGTATTTTGATATTAATTGGTTTACTCCCTACTTTTATTGAATGTGGGAAGGGCTTGGTCCATAGTAAGCATTGAATACATATTTGTTGAAGGAATGAGGTGTTATCTTTTAAATGTATCTTAGATGGTAAGATTAATAATGGCAGGAATTACATTCATTCCTTCATTTATTCAAATATTTGTTGAGTGTCTATTATGTGCCAGGTATTCCTAGGTACTGGGCCTACATCGGGGAACAAAATGGGGAAGGTGTCTACACACACAGGGCTTACATTCCAAAATGTGAATGGTGTAGTGGAAATTACTCAGGATTTGGGGATCATGTTCCAGGACTCCAATGTAACACTGAACAAATCACCTAACCTCTGTAAGCCTCAGTTTATCCACATATAAAATGAGACTATAAAGAGACCTATATCAGGAGTTCATTGTGATGACTAAATGTAATATTTCATGCACAGTTGGTCTGTAGGCACTTAAGCATCCGTATAAATGTTATTTATTTTTAGAATATTTGGTGAAGACACTTAAATTAGAAATCAGTACAAGTATTCACCGGGGTCAAGTCTATTTAGTTTTGAGAGTATATATGCCACCTTCACTGATAAACTGACTCCATTCTTGTCCACATTGATCAGTCAATAACCTTGAGAGTTCTATCTCATTGTCTTTCAAGAGGCCTTGGTGAAGTCTTAACCTCTTCCCATAGAGAGGTGGGCTGGAGTATGAAATAAGGAGAAGGAGATTCTTAATAAACTTAGGGAATGCTGGTGACGTTTAGGATTTATTTCCTTTCTTTTTAAGTTTTAAGCACCTTTGGTATTGGCAACATATCCTAACCACTTTATTGGACATTGCACTGCTCTTCCAAGCTAGGTATGTGCCAAAAAAGCAATTTAAACACATTAGCTCTGAAGTAAAAATGAAACAAGGACCTGCGAATCCCCAAAGGATAAGAGTTACATTTTCAGCATTAACACATGAGTTAGTATGTGCAACCTGAGAAGCGCAGCCCCCAGAGGTAGATATAGTAAAGGAGTTATTAGAATAACATGATTTTCTCCTTCCTTCACCCCCCATGAGGAGGTAAGTAAAATAAGCAGATATTTTCATAACGTACATTATCAGAGGCAAATGTACAAACAAAATGAATTCCAATCTCCTCATACTGCTCCCCCAAGCTTGCCAAAGCTAATGAGGCATAAGATGACATTAATAGGGCACCTGGGTGGCTCAGTTGGTTAAGTGTCTGCCTTTGGCTCAGGTTATGATCTCAGGATCCTGGGATCAAGCCCCGTGTCAGGCTCCCTGCTCAGTGGGGAGTCTGCTTCTCCTGCTCCCTCTGCCCCCCCTCCCCATGCTCATGCACTCTCTCTCTCTCTCTCTCAAAGAAATAAATAAATGTGACATTAATACTACCCCTGATGATGACTGAAATTGCTGTTTTTTTTGGAAGGGAGGAATGATTAGAAACTTGCCTAAGATCACACTCTTACATAAAATTCAAGCTAAACCTGATTCTCCAGATTGTATTTCATTGGTCTTTGCATAGCCTTAAAATTCACTTAAACCAACCAGGAAGTGAAACCCACTTTCTTTCACAAAAAAAAAAAAAACAAAAACAAAAAAAAAACTTACCTTAAGATGATTAAGAGAGGGAGAAGAAACAAGTCTTCCATATAGAAAAATTCCAAATAATTTATGTAGATACTTTACCCTCAAGGAGAGGGAACATAACCCCCCACTCCTTAAGTGTGGGCTTTGCAGAGTGACTCCCTTCCAAAGAGGGCAGTCTGGAAAGGAGGGGAGAAAAGTAACTTTACAGTAGAGAGACCTGACACACATTGCCTCAGCCAGGTGATGAAGGTCAACATCAACAGTCACAGATCAAACTGTCTGTATGTACCCTTGACGTGATGAGGTGAGAGCAGCACTTTAACTCTGTGATCTTCCTCCCCTAAACCCATCACTCCAATCTAATCATGAAAAAAACAGATACATTTCAATAGGGGTTAAACCTACAGAATATCTGACCAGTACTCCTCAAAACTGTCAAGATCATAAAAAACAAAGTCTGAGAAACTGTCACAGCCAAGAAGA